TCTTGCTCTTACCTATATAGAGAGATATATCATCAATAATTTTTGGTTATATTATAAGGCGTCTTGGGACCCACATCACTGTTGACAATTATAAGGTTGAAGTTGTAAAATTCTTTGTTTATTTGCGAATTAACGTAAACACCTAAAATGACATCAGCCTATAGGCTCAACGAAGACTCAACAGCTGTTATTTCGGACTAAGTAGGTAATTGAGAAATAAATTTCTCTCTTGATAAACAGAAATCACGCTATACAAATCTCTTATCGTGGTTATTCTGTTGAGTGGTGCAGAAGCTTGGACAATTCGAGAGAGCATTCGAAAGAAAAATTCTTCGAAAGATTTATGGTCCCTCACACATTGGCGACGAGTATCGCCAATGCATAGTTAAGCGCATAAAAATTCAGCGGCTTAGCTAGCTTGGTCATGTCGTGCGAATATAAGAAAGTGATCCGCCTAGAAAGTTGTTTTAGTCGGTACCCTCACATGAAAAACGCAGTAGAGTACGTCCGTATCATCGGTGGAAGGACCAACTGAACAACGATTTGGGAACGCTCGGTACTACCAACTGGCAACAACAAGCAACTAATCGGTCTGGCTGATGAAGGTTACTTAACGCGGCCAAAGACGACTCAAGTCTGTAATGGTCAATTAAGTAAGTAAGTCGAACACTTTCAGAACAAATATATAGTTTTTCTAGATTTAATTTTTTTAACAGTTTTTTGTGGATTTTAATTGTCATAAATTGTCATAAAGATTTGATTTGACTAAAGAAAATTGGATGCAATTTACCTACTACGGAAAAACTATTACTAGTGAGATTTCACAGTTATAACATCTTGGGTTATTATAAAGTGATCGATATTGAAATATAGTAAACATAAAGCTAAACTGTTAATGCCTTAAATGATAGTTTTGTTTGACATATATTGCTAAAGCGGTGCTGTCAAATCAGGACCATGAAATGGATAACCCGCTATTTATGGAACCCTTGTTAGGTGTGTGCTGTTACGCACTCTTCGATATTTTTTAGACTTGCTTGAAAAGTATTTTTATTCTTTTATTTACAATATAAGCTAATACAAACAAAATACACAAAATTTCGTACTTATATTTTCAAGTACTTGCATTATATATATTATTTTTTGGCAAAAATATTGAAAATGAATTTTAAATGGAAATAATAGTTTTATATCGAAAATACAACGCATAAGTAACATTAAACAATCGAACTTTTAAAATTTAATTTTTTTATGTATTTTTTTGTTTAAAAAAAAAGATATTAAATATAAAATATGAGTAATAAAATCGGACACGTACTATTTTGCAGTTGATGCTGAGAACACTAGAAAATAATTAATAACGAATTTTAACATTAAATTAATAATTAAAATAGAATTAATTATGCTGTTTTTCTGTTTTTCTGTGTTTAACAAGTGAAATAATTTAATTACATATTCAAAAGTGAGGTGTATAGAAATACGAAACACCACAATTACATGCAAGTTCATACTTGTTATTTATTGTTCAGCAAAGGATTAATCTCATAGAATAAGTATCTTAAATAATAGTTACAATATTATCCAAATCCGCGTGAAAAAGTGCGAAATTTTTTCCTACATACGACTATATTGAATATATCTAGAGAGTGCTGCCTTCAATTTGATATCAATTTGGTTCAAGATGATGTTTGAGGCAAATGTAAGTTCATCTATATGAACCTTCTTTAGTCAGTTTTAATATTCTTTAGAGGAAATTTATAAATTCTATACGCAAAATTTTAACAAATAACCGATATCTTTTCCTAAGACTGTAAATAGAAATATGCATAACTTTAGCACCCATGCTATTATACCTATGTAATACTATGTGAACTAAAAAGATATTGCTTCAATTAATTCAAAATATTTATTACTACTGCATAAAAATATCTGCAACAATTGATTACCAGACCAGATCAGTCTACAAATTCTTAGCGTAGAGATAATTCTAAGTGAGTAATTATAGCTGAATGGTATGTACTAGTGCTATTTACGGTTTTACATATTATTCGGTGAATCCGAGATTTTTTGTAAATCCGGAGTTTTCGAATATCCGGATGTGTGATTATTATTTTTAGTGAAATTATTCGTAGACTTCGTGAGCAAAAGTTAACAGGAGAACACCAAATGCAAACGAATGACTTCGTTGCTATGCGATTAATCCGAAATTGACGTAAAACAGTCAATTCCGAATGGTACGAGTATACAACTATTTGTTTATCGGAAGTCTTTAGTAAAATACGGAAAACAAATAAGCGCTGTCGGATCATTCTCCATCTCATAGATATCGTCTAACAACCGACTATTTGAACTGTCAAAAAAATGAAATTGATGGGTCATTCACCTGGTACAGTCTTAATTTGGCGCCCAAGGCTTTTGGTTGTACCCGAACGTCAAGAATAAATCGCACGGACAACGATTTTTGTCGGCGGAAGCGACAACGAAGCCATTGTTGCATTTAAAAACTATGTTTTGTAGGTGTCTGAAGAAGTTTGGAAACAATGCCTTGACAAATGGATCGAACGTATGCAAAAGTGTATTTATCATAAAGAAGAATATTTTGAGAAAGTATAAAGCAATTTTCAACCATAAGTTAGTTGCTACCCTTGTACCAAAGATATAATTATACCTATTCGCACTAATATGTGTCAGAAGAACTTAAAGTTTCTCTATGTTGTGGTGCAAATATATTTAAAGGTTGAAACAATTAAAATTAAATTAATACTATTAAAAGTTTTAATAATATATTGTCTTTAACTACTTTTGACAAAAAGCATATGCAATGAGACATTTAGAAAAATTGTTAATATCTTATTAACAATTTCTCTAAATGTTTAAGTTCCTTAATGAAGTAGGACTGGATAAGAAAAATGAGCAGAAGGTTGAAGAATTATTACAAATTCTAACTACTGGTTAAAGTTATTCCATTGATGAAATAATATCTTATTAACAATTTCTCTAAATGTTTAAGTTCCTTAATGAAGTAGGACTGGATAAGAAAAATGAGCAGAAGGTTGAAGAATTATTACAAATTCTAACTACTGGTTAAAGTTATTCCATTGATGAAATAGTACTACATATTATTAGAGCAATAAGTACACGAAGATGATGACATTAAGATTTTAAAGGATGAGAAAGAAGTGAGAACAGGAGTTTTCGATAAATTTACTGAAAAAACTTTGAAAATTAGAAATCAGTTTTTTACATTAAATGGTAGTAATTGACATTATATGATTTCGTTGCAAACAATATAGAATTAATAAAACATCTATAACTTCTGTAATTAAACTTTCAGACCTATTCTGTGCACTTTATAAACTTGTCAAACATTGACACTTGTCAAAAATGACTACTGTAAAGGTTTTGGTATTCTGTGACCTAAATAAAAAGCTCTTTTCCTTGTTAGTTGTCAATACTACAAATGCTGTTGACAACTATAAAAATATGCTCTTTTTAAGCATTTTTTATTATTTGCATGAATGACAAATATTCCTAACTAAAATATACGCTCTTCACAAGCATATTTTTTATTGTGATTTGAATGCATGAAAAATGCTTTTGATAATTTAAAATATATGCTCTTTACAAGCATTTTTTACGAACAGTTATGAACAATTACGAACAGTTACGATCAATTACGAACAGTTTTCTATACAAAACACTTTATAATATAGGGTGGTGAGAGGCACCTGGTACTTGAGATTTGAAATTTGTCAAAATATGTCCAGAATATCAGAAAGCTTTCTGCTATATAAAAATCAAGAATTTTATTAAAGAATTTGACAAATCTGTCAAGTGCACAGAATAAGTCCATTTATTTCGATTACTATAAAAAATTTAGATTTACTCTAAATCTGTTAAATTTTATTCCTCAATTAAACATTTTTAGAGTAATCTAATATTTTTGCAGTTGTGTTAGTAGACTTTTATATTTTTCATCAACACATATATTATATCAAATCACAATTCATTTGTCGTCATAGAAAACAGCTGTTAATTTCAGGGTAATTTTGCTACTCTCACAAAATATCTAGAGTGTTATTAATTAATCACGAGTGTTATACATTAATCTCAAGTGTTATACAGATTCACCAATCGAAAATAAAAATTGCACTAAAAGTTAATCTGGATTAAAAAAGTTACCCCAGATTTACTAATCCAAAACGCCATTTATATTGATTGATGTGTAGCGTTTTGTACTATAGGGACTAGGCACATCTGATCAAAGAGCTGTTAAATTTTATTATTAAAATATTTATTATATTATTAAATTAAATATTAAAGTATAAATTTTATTATATATTAAAGTATTTTATATTAAATGCAATAAAACAATAATACTGCCAAATTATTGCATTTTCTGTTGTGACTATAAGTTACCCTATTTTTTAAATTTAATACTGTACTACATTAGAATACACTCGCTTTAAGCGGGGTCTTACTGTTATTCAAAAAAGCTATAGTTAACCCATATGAGAAGGATTAGTAAAAAAAAATTAATATTTTCATAATAGTTCTCCATATAGATACGAATGTAAAGAATCACTGACTAAGGCATTTCTAATTTTTGCAAATATAATAGCATTAAAGTGAAATTTTCAAATTATAATATTTCTTATCTATTTTCTTTTCTTTTCTTTTCAGATATCATTTTCGCTTATCGAAAATTCTACAAACTCTGAACAAACGCAAAAATTGGTAAAAACAAAAGCGAAGACGTAATTCATTCAAAATTAGCTTCTCACTTACTTGCCCACAGTATCTTTCCGTTTGCCTATTTGCTTGCCTGCCTATCCGCTTGCCCATTCAAATACTTGAAGTCGCAGACAAGTGGATCCCAACAGAATCGAGCGTAAACAAACCTCTCTGGAAGTGCGAAGACAGCGCTAGTACTTTAGTTTTGAATTGAAAATGTTTTATAAACAAAATTTAATTAATTAAATTGATTTAATTTATTAATTCTTTATTTTGATGCAATTGTTCAAAACAATAAGAAAACTGAAAGAAAATATATATGAGAAAGAAAAGAAAACACGAACTTAGTTCTTAAGCAAAAGAAGGTTAAAACGAAAAAAAATTGTCTTATGAAATAATTAAAATAATTAAAATAATAAAAATAATATATAATATATAAGACATATCTGAAAATTTGACAACAATGGAGCATTTAGATTTGGCGGGAGTTACATCCATGACGACTTTTAATAATTGGTCACTACCAATGTTCGAGCAGCAGGGTGAGTACAATTAATTTTATACTAAGTATATTATATATAGGTATAATTTAAAATTATTTAAGAGTAATTAGTATAAACAATACAATCACTTAAATGACTTTATTTATACGATTTCTCTCGTATCTTTCCAATTTCACTCGAAAATCTCGCAGAGCCAATACTACATTTATTATATAGCGCATGAGTATCTTATCACATTACGAAAGACTTGCAATAGAAAGTTGAAGAAGTAGATAATGTATTGCTACCAATAGTTTATAGTCACGGTCAAGGATAAATAATAATATATTAAATTCATTAAGAGAAATTTTTAATTTTTAATAATATATTTTCCCTTCGGTATAAAATAGTTAGGTAAGTAAATCAGTGTGAAATTTTGCAAAGAAATGTACTTTAATGCGAGCATTATATAGGAAAACTAACGCCCATCATTTAATCTTTATAACTCTTTATATTTTATCATCCTTTAAGAAATATAATCTATATTTCACTTTATATTCTTATTATAAGAGCGACCATTTAACCATTGTATGCTTTTAAATCTTGATTAATTGGTAGGATAGATTGACCAGATCCCCAAATTCCAAATTGTGCTTTTCAAACCCGATAACAGAATTTAATATGGAAACAAAGATTTTCTAAAACAGCTTTCACTCTTTTTGTGTTGAGGTGGCCTTAGACTTGATAGTGATGGAAACACATCAAGATAGCAGGTTTGTGAAATACTTTAAATTATTTGTTCCATTTTATTTTAATACCATTTTCTCTGATGTGCGCTATCCTTTTTTCTTTTGAATTTGTTCTGAACTTCTGAAACAGTTTTCGCATGAAAAACGAGTGTTCATACTGGCATGCTTAGGATAATAGTTTATGTGCAAATTTTTCGAAAAGGACTCATCTATAATTAAACAAAAAAAAAGACTTTAGGGTCGCTTAATTTCTTCACCAAGCTAAAACACATGCGACCCTAAAGTCTTCTTTTTTAAATTACGAGCCTTAAATTTCATCTGCAACCCGGTTTTCTCTTATATATCTAAGTTTTTGGCAATAATTGGTTAAAGTTTCAATATATGGTATATGTTTTAAAGAATTAATAAAATTTTATTTTTTTCAAGAGCTCCGTGTTTTATGTTTATAAACATAAAAATACCTTCCCAAATTTATCTCCTATCCTATGAAAAAAAGGATTTCTTAAAACAGTTGTTCTTTTACAAAATGATTTTAAGAAAAGGAAAGAGAAATTTGGGGAAGGATATATATTCATTCGTAGCGTTTTATTGACACATCAAATTTCCTGGATCCTATTTTATATTTCTTGATCCTTTTATTAATCCTTTAAAAGATCAATTTTTAAACTTTAGTCAGTTATTGCCAAAGATCCAGATATCTAGAAGAAACACGAGTTATAGATTTGAGTTCAGCAATCCCAAAGTAACCAGAAAGTCAGAAAAAGAATTGTATATCTATCGTATAGTGCTATAGGTGCCAAAAATTCACATCATCAGTAATTTTTCAGTGTAGTACTAAGTTTTTCAAATTTTTTAAGAACGTCTTACTGTAAAAAAAAATGTGTTACTGCATGCTAAAACTTAACTTTAGGTTTATTCTAAAACTCATATGTAGTCTGCCCTGCATAAAAATTTTTTTTGTACTATTCCTGCTTTAAAGCAGGTGTCTCTGATTTAAAAACTTTGCTAAAGATCCAATAATCGCTATCATGAACGATTTTATAAAAATTTCCGGTACACAATGAAATTGAATTTTTAAGTTTTGAAAACTTGAGAGAGCTATACAATTGCATATTGCGAAATAAAACTACTTGAAACTATAGTTCTCTAAATAGATTTTATCTCTATATCTCTGGTTTAGTACACGCAAAGACTTTTTGAGTTTTAATCTAATACATAATATACAATAATCAACTTGAAACAATTCACTTAAAATACTATGACCAACTATTTAAAAAGTGGAAAAGCCATGATAAGAAAAGCCATGAAGATTGGATTGGACAAAAAGTATTCGCTGTTTTTTCATGCATTAATCTTTTGCATGTTTTTATATCACATTATATCATTATTATGGTGGAAACCATTATTCTTTCAATATAAAATATTAAGCGTGTTTTTTGTTAATGTTTTTTACAGTTTCTTAGGAAATTGAAAATTAGCAGGGACGTTCTGTAAAGATCGGAACAAATTTAATAATGATATTCTAAGGGTACAATGTCAACAGTACATTATGAAGAAATCAGAACTTATCAGGACATTTCAATTTAGCTTCTTAGATAAGAATTAGCTATTCGCAGATGGGAACTCAGTTTATTAATTTTCCATTAATTTATTCAGTTATTTATTCAGTTATATCAAGTTAGAAAGTCATTCTAGCCTGTTTCAGGCAAACACTTTTGTTGTGGGTCTCTATCACTGAGAAAATTGATTACTGAAAATGTTGTATTTAGTATAATACTTGATTTTCAGTATTTTACTGATGCTATAACTGCTTACAATCTGGCCTTATTTAAAATATTCAATGGAGCAGGAAAGTGAGAAATTCCGGTATTTGATTGCGAAATATAGATAGATAGAAGCCAGATAGAAGATAGATAGAAATATAGATAGAAATGTTCTGAATTGACCTCCATATAAAAGTATGCTTTGATAATTGCTAATAATGTAGTTAAGAAGAAAGTATGTATGTATAAAGTATGTATATATTTGAATAGTTCGTATAATAAAAAATAATCTATTTTTTCCAACTGCATGTCCATTTTTTGCAATCCAAATCAGTTTCTCTATTATTGAGATAAAAGAATAGAAATCTTTCTTATAAAAATTTTTCTTTGTTGAATTGATCTAAGTCATCTTCTACATCTCATTTATAATAGACAGTTAAACTGACTTTTTCTTCGATTTTTTGTAGCTAAGTTCAGTTAAAGTCGAACTATAAATTGTCGGATAATAGACTTTATTATTGTGTAATTTTATTTCGATCACAATTATTCAATATAAGTAATATTTAAATTTTTAATAGACTCCAAGATAGGTTTTTTGCTATGTAACAATGTTTGATAACGTATACGATTTATTAAAATAAACCTTAAAAATGTGAACTTTTGTATTAATAATACAAAAGCAATTTATTTTAAATTAAAAGTAATAATTACAATTTTATTTGTACAAAAAAAATATAACAGAGCATCATCAGAGCCGCTACCGAGAATAATAGTAAAGATTAGAAGTTCCCTGATTAAATTAATTAGTCAATGTGATGAAATCTACTACGTCAATCCCTAGAAAATTTATATATTCAACATATCATATTAGCATCATTTTACGTTTTATACTCGTAATAAGGTTAGGTTAGGTTATTAAGATGAGGCAAGGGATTCATTTAGGGCTATTTAGCGTTTTGTTTTTATTAAAATATTATTACTTAAATAAAATATAAATAGAGAATTATTCATAAGTTTCAATAAACATATTTACTAATTTCTATGAAATGCATTATTATTGGATGATCCAACTGATTGGAAATTTTTCGGAAACCTGCATCTTTATTTGTAATTTAGTTAAATTAAACCATTAGAAAATATTCTTCGTTAAGGCGGTCCTTACTTTGTTGAGGAGTTATTTGATGGACAACAAATGAGTCGAATTCTGCACAAGTGTCAATCGGTCCAGCCTTAACGAAATATTCCTATACCTTCTGACTTTTTAATTAAAAATATTATTTTATTACAGCACATATTGCTGACATTGTAATGTTCACGGATCGTGCCTATTCAACTATATCAGCCATTTTTCACAGCTTCTTCAAAATGTAAAAGATATACTCAATAGTAGCCTCAATAACAGTTCCATTTCATCAGTTTATGGTATACCACACATTTCTGACAAATATCTTTTTGCATATATTGGTTAAGATCTTTGTTTTCCTTAGAATAATAGTCTATATAGAACTATTGGACTATCTATACTGGACTATATATATAGTTTATTTTAGAGATATGATGTGGTTATTTTAATCCTTGTCGTTTGATGTTTTCATTATATCACCATATTTATTACTATATGAAAAGGTGTCCTTATCATTTTTCTGCAGTTTTTGGGGGTATTAATTTATTTTTGCAGATATTTTCTGATTGTTTATACCCTGCTTTTTTTCTAAAACTCTTTTCTTAAAATCCCTCAATATTCTCTAAGATTGTTTTGTTATCCATTTCTTTCCCAACAATAATTTTTCATATTGGCTTACACCTAAAGCTATCAAATCTTCATTATTGGGAAATATGCGTTATAACAATTCTTTGTCTTTAGAGTAACGATTCCTAGGAAGTTTTTCTAAGTTTAGCACCTTTATCCTTCAAATGAGAGGACATCGCTTTTCTTACCTAGAATATACATTCTCGTAGCACGTATATATTTTGAAATTGTGGTCCTCTCACGAATATTATTTCTGCAAGCTAACAACCAAGTGAATTGTCGAACCATTCGTCATACTGGGATTTTTAAAATTTTCGAAGTTATTCGAAGAACCTCTTGAGATTGGCATCCCTTAGTATATACCGAATTTTCGTAACTATATTTTCTCCATCAAACTGTGATTATTTCTCAGAAAAACGATCACTTTATCTGAAAATCTATAAAACTATCCATTTAGTATAAACTCGATTTTATTAATCGAACATTTTAAATTTTAAGTAGTAAATATAGTTTTATATAATAAATATAAAAACATTATATAATAGTAAATATTTATTTTATTGGCGATAAAATTGTAAGAAAACAGTATAAAAAGGATATTAGATGATATAATCTTACTTTACTTGACATATCAAGAAATATATTATTTACATATTTCAAACTTAGTACAGTGGACTTAATCTATGGGAATAGAATAAAAATGTCGACAATAATATCATTTCACATTAGACAATAGCCCATATAATAGCATAAAGCTAGGCTAGGTATGCACTAATGAAACTTATGTAGTCCGCTCTT